CAGATCTCTAACTCTTCCTGTTTATTCCCCATGCTGCGTGCATTGGTGTACAGGCATTTCAGAGAGCCAGTCAAGCACGCAGGCTTCCCAGGAGAGGTGCAAGAGGATCCTCCATAGCCATGTCCCATGCTGTCTCCCCTGGTTGTATGCACCCGCTGCAGGCATCCTGACTCGAGCGGTGTTTTACTGACTCTCCTGCCACTATACCACTCCCCTTCCCCCATCTTGCCTAGTTTAAAGCCCTCCTTACCCGGCTGGCCAATCTGTTGGCAAAGAAGTGCGTGCCCCGCTTGGTAAGGTGGATGTGGAGAGCCAATGTCCCTGCCAGTGGAGTGAGCAAGTCTCTTTATGGTCTATGTATCTTTTAATTTTAATTTTGTACAATGACTTTTCATTCTTTACTTCTCTTTTGTTTGATCTGTATTAAAAGCAGCAGACTATTGGGATCTGCAGTGTTATGAGTGAGAGGTTTTTTTTTTCTTTCCTTCTGAACATGAACAAATTTCAGTACCCCACAACCGTTCCTGGGACAAGTCTGTTTCAGCAATCCTTTCTGCAGGTGGATTACTGTAAAAGCAACTGGGAAAGGAAGTTCAGACCTCAAATTCTTGTTTGGTCTTTTTCATTGTAGTCTGAATAAGCATTCCTGACTCTCTGAATCTGTTTTCTGATCTGTGAACAAGTTTGCTTTTACATCTCCTATTGCTTGCTGTACCTCCCCATCTGCCTTTCGCTTAAGACAGACAGTGCGATTACACTGATTAGAAGCAGTCTGTGTGTCACTTTGTAGACATGAGTTTGCTCCTAGCTTTACCTCTACTTTCTTTTGCATCAGTGGTTGAGTTACTTACCTTCTTATGGTTTGGTCATCTAAAAGTCATAAACTGAGAGTGATGACTTAGAGTAATAGTTTGTATTGTGGCAGAGCCTGAACACATAATTTATAGACTTGCCTCACAGTATTACTATGTGTATGTGTAATAGTCTCTGTCTTTATCTATTTGTGGATTATGGGTGAACCCCTTAAATCTATCTCATTTTCTGCAGTGGTCTAATATTGTTTGTTATTCCTGGCCACTCTGAAACGATCCAGGAAATGTAGCAAACACCGCAGCCTTGAGTTCCATCCTGTCCAGTATCCTATGTCTGACAATAGTTAGAAGCAGCTGCAAGATTCACTAAGTGTACAGTTATAGCATAAGTTACGTACAGAAGACTTTCTGAGGGACTGTTTGCCTCTGGAAAGAGGATGGTTGATGGATCTTCTGATTTACTGTTTATAGCTAATAAAACTCACTTCTGAGGGCAAGGCTGGGTTTAAGAATTTGGATGTTGTTGAACTGGAAGACCTCTAGAGGTCTCTTCCTGTCAACTTTTCCAATTTTGATGTTTCTAGGAAGGTATTCTTCCTCTAATTCTTGGTTACTTGAGCCCTATGGATCATTTGCGTGCTCCTTTTCTTTCCCAGTTCAAGTAGCCCAGCCCTTTTTTCTGTTGCCTTAGAGACTGGTCACTGATGTCCCTGATGAAATGCACTGTACAGTGCAGATGTTGATGACAACAAGGACAGGACTTCAATCTGAAAGTCCCCTCCAGCTACATGTTCCTAGTGTTTCTTTTTTTTTGTTGACTTCTCTGGATCAGCCTTATAAACATCATAGTGCCTACTGTCGTGACTTTATAGCGACTTTCTAATGAGGCTAATGTTTTCATGCCTAAGGTGTACTGTTGTGTAG